TGATATATATATATATATATATAGCTCTTATATATATATATATATGTAGTCCTTTTATATGTATATATATTGTCCTTTTATATATATATTGATACCTTTTACCCAAACAATTTGGCCATTTGTGTTGATTCGCCAAATCTATCGATCGTGTCTTTGTCCTGACTTTTGTATGGAATGATCGTCCAGTACCACACTAATTTGTCAGTCACACACTAATTCGGTGTTGCATTGGTCAAAGTCGATTTTGATTGGTCACTTGATTATTCGTGTTGTGAGTTTTGATTGGTCGTATATCGATTGTCGATTTATATGGTGCTGCGATGTATGAGCACCCGACTAACCAATTTCGAATCGATTCGACAATCTATATATATATGTATGTTGAACTGAACAATACCTGCTGAGACAGAGTCGTGCACTGGGCGACGCTGGGCTTGGACGTGGTGCTCTCGTGCGACGACGTTCAAACGTTCCACGAGCTGAAGCGGCAGCTGTGGCGCCATGCGCTGGCAGTCGACGCGCCCTTGTGGCAGCAGATTGTGGCTCGTCATGCCACGAGCATTCACGAAGTCGACGTGGAGAAATCCATGCGCTCCAGCGTCGTGTATCTGGCCATGAAGAATGCCAGCTCCAAGAAGGCCCAACTTACGCTTGAGCTGGTGGATGACCTCGTCAAAGATCCGACACTCGAAGGCATTAGCATCAAAGCGCGACCGCTGCTGGCCAAGACACTCGCGCTCGTCGTGGTCCCCCCGCCGCCTTAACATGGACGAGTACTAGGAAGTATTGAAGACGCGGATTTGTACGAGTTACGTCAGTTTACAAGTCTACTAGTAATTGTAAAATGCCAAGTTTGGAAACCGTTACCATGATAAATGAACGTTCAATTAGTGTGCGTATTCCGGTGGCAGTGTCATCACACTAATTTCATTCACACACTAATTGGATGTTGAATTGGTCGAAGAGTGGAATTGATTGGCTACTTTTTTCAAATTCTGGGTTTTGATTGGTCGATGTATCGATTATGGGCCACTAACTCAAGTATACTAGTATTACTATACGTAGTAGTAACTTGTTACTACTTACAGTTAGTCCAATGCGAACATCGCCGCCATTCCTTATTGAGATGATTAATAGCATGACTACATAAATGTGAATCACAGCCGCGGCGATGGAACTACTATTGTACTAGTAGTACTAGTAGTACTCTCTTGCACGTTGTCGCAGCCGTTTCGTCAACTCTATGCGATACAGTGTTGCAAAAAGTAGGTGTACACATCTATGAATGGCGAGGTTAAAAGATCGGTTCGTCGTCGTCATCGTCGTCCTCCACGGCAGCTTCTTCGACCACTTCCACGACTTCCGCCTCTGGCTTCTGGATGAGCCCGCGCTTCCCGGCAATGGTCGCGACGACCGATTCGGGCTTGACCAGCGGCGTCACGTGCTCGGGGAACGTGATGTTTTCCAAGTAGATGCGCTCGCCGACGTGCATGCCGTTCACGTCCACGTACAACTTGGACGGGATCACCTCGGACGCAATCGTGCATGGGATCTCGTGGTATACGTTGTTGATGTACCCGCCGCGCTTGAGACCCGGCGATCCTTCCTGGTTCAAGAAGTCCAACGGAATGTGCACCTTGCGCCCGGGTTTGTAGCGCAAAAAGTTGACCGACTGCGGGATGTCTGTCACGGGGTGGAGCGTGGCGTCGCGAAGCAGCACCTTCGTGGCGGGGCCGCCGTCGCCCGTCGTGACCTCGTACACTTGGTTCCCCATGGACGTGCGGAGTTTGCGGTACTCGCGCTCAAAGTCCACCTGGTTCATGCTCACGAGGACGCGGGAGGCGTCGCCATTCACACCTTCGCCGTACAAGATGCCAGGCAAGAGGCCTTGCTTTCGAAGGCGACGCGCTTCACGCGAACCGTCCTTCAAGCGAGGCGTGAGGGTGAAGTGTGCCGCGGGTGCCGGAGCCGCCGTCGACAACGCGCGCGCCGCGGACGCCCGCAGTTGATGGCCACCTTGACGCAACATTATCTTTTCCAGCAAATAAATGGCCCTCGGTTGGACACAACTCGGGCGCTTATGATTGGTCGAAATGTGGAAAAAATATTTTGAAAAAAAAAGAGTCCTCTCATTTAACAACGTAAAATCCTGATTCGTTTTTTTTGGGGGCTTTTTTTATTTTCGACGAAATCAACGGGGGGAAAGAATCGAATCAAAGCAGCGTTCCACCACACAGAAGACATGCAGCACCACAACGTCCTGAACCCCGAGTCCCAAGTGGAGAAGGTACCGTCATGACGACAGTTCGAGGCGTGGATTCTCATGGAAGTAGGGAGAGAATGCCCGCTTGGCGTCGTTCGTCGGCGCGATTGCCATCGCAGACATGGTCAAGACGACCTTGGGCCCGAAAGGGATGGACAAAATCTTGCAGAGCGTCGGCGGCCCCGACAAGTCCATCTCCGTGACCAACGATGGTGCGACCATTCTCAAGTCCGTGTACATCGACAACGCCGCTGCGAAGGTGTTGGTCGATATTGCCAAGACCCAGGACGAAGAAGTGGGGGATGGGACGACGAGGTTCGATTCCGACTCGCATTCCAATGGCGTCTAATAGTGTTTGCATGTATATAGCGTGGCCGTGCTGTGCGGGGAGCTCCTTCGCGAAGCGGAAAAGCTGATTGAACAGCGCATCCATCCGCAAACGATCATCGAAGGGTGGCGCATTGCGTTGTCGACGGCGCACAAGGCGCTTGAAAAGTCGGCGCGCGACCACTCCCAGGACCCGATCAAGTTCCGTGAAGACTTGCTGAACATTGCGCGTACGACGCTCAGCTCGAAGCTCATGGCCGAATCGAAGGACCACTTTGCCGAGTTGGCGGTGGACGCGGTGCTGCGCTTGAAGGGCAGCAACAACCTCGACCACATCCAAATCATCAAAAAGCAAGGCGGGAGCTTGAAGAACTCGTACTTGGAGGAAGGGTACATCCTCGACAAGCACATTGGCGTTGGCCAGCCCAAGCGCATCGTAAACGCCAAGATTCTCATCGCCAACACGGGCATGGACACGGACAAGATCAAGATCTACGGCGCGCGCGTCAAAGTCGACTCGATGGAGAAGGTGGCGAGCATCGAAGACGCGGAAAAGCTCAAAATGCGCCAAAAAGTCGAAAAAATTGCCGATTTCGGCATCAATTGCTTTGTGAACCGCCAATTGATCTACAACTACCCGGAACAAGTACGTATTAGCAAAAACATTGTTGTTGGTTCTACACTGCTTCTTCTTTCCACTTATATATATATATATATTGGTGGAATATATATATATATGTATATGTATAGGTGGAATATATATATATAGGTAGAATATATATATATATATTGGTGGAATATACATATATATATATATATATATTGGTGGAAAAAAGCAGTATATATATATATATATATATATTCGGCATGTCGATGCTGTTTGCCAACTATATATATATATGTTGTTGGGTCACAGTATATATATTTTTTCATTGTGTAGATCTTCACGGAAAAAGGTATCATGGCCATTGAACATGCAGACTTTGACGGTATCGAGCGGTTGGCGGCCGTCACTGGCGGTGAAATTACTTCGACGTTTGAGCACCCCGAGCTTGTGACACTGGGCGAAGCGGCGCTGATCGAGGAGATTATGATTGGGGAGGACCGAGTGATTCGGTTCTCGGGGGTTAAGACGGGGCAGGCGTGCAGTGTCGTCTTGCGCGGCGCGTCGTCGCATTTGCTGGACGAAGCCGAGCGATCTCTCCACGATGCGTTGGCTGTGTTGTCTCAAACGGTACGATATATATATAGGTTATGATGTATATATATACTACTAGTAGTATATAGGTTATGATGTATATATATATATAGGTTATGATGTAAATATATGTATATATATATGGTGCACACGACATGTTGTGGACGTGTCTATATATATATATATATTCTCGTTAGGGTCGGAATCTTCCACTTTGGTTCCGTTTGTGCATGTGATATATTTATATATAGCAGCTGTATATATGTATATATCCATACAAGGCACATATACCACATACTTGCATGATTTCTTCGTTGTGATATATATATATATATCGAACGCCTTTTATCAACGTGCGTGTTGTAGGTACGACACACTCGCACCGTGATGGGCGGCGGGTGCACAGAAGTGCTCATGGCCCAAGCGATCGACGAGCTAGCCCCGGGCATCCCCGGCAAGAAATCGCTGGCGATGGAAGCATTTGCACGAGCATTGCGTCAGATCCCGGCGATCATTGCCGACAACGGCGGGTATGACAGCGCCGAGCTGGTCACGCAGCTGCGCGCGGCTCACTTTGGCGGACACAACCACGCCGGCCTCAACATGGCGAACGGATCGATCGGAGACATGGAGGCGCTGGGGATTCGGGAATCGTACAAGAGCAAGATGCAGGTGCTGCTGTCGGCGGCGGAAGCGGCTGAGATGATCTTGCGAGTGGACGATATCGTCAAGTGCGCGCCCCGCCAACGCCAGGGGTAGAGAGATTACACTAGTAGACATAAAAAGAACCGACACATGCCACCAAAGAGATAGCACACACACTACAACCTTGTTTGGTAGTACTTGGGTAGTTTTGATGGGGTTGCAATACCATAGGACTTGCTATGTAGTACACCATTTTGCGGTTAATTTGGAAAAATATCTGGTATATTTCGTGGAATCCCATTTAAATTCATGGAGCTTCATTATATTTCGCGACATCGGGGCATTTTGTTTCGACGGGAACGTCGAAATCACTCATTCTATTTCGTGGACTGCCACTATATTTCGTGATTTGCTCAGTTAGATTCGCAAACATCCACTATATTTCATGACGAGACCAATATATTTCGCATAAATGTTAACGCAATGGGTGTATTTATGCAGGAGTGACGACAAAGTTAGAGGCTCTTTTCGTAGTAAGTTATTGTGAATTCGCTATAAACTTGCAAAATTCGCGCGGTTTGTCTACAGTGAACGACGAAGGGGTTCTGATTGGTTGAATATACTTGTCCATCCTGTAAGAGCCAATCAAATCCATTCAAAATTGGATTCGCGAGATTCAATTCGACGGGGTCTGGAAATCTGTACCGAACCCACAATACATGTACTATTATTAATAACAAGTAAATAGTACTACGTACTACAACGTACTAGTAGTAGTTAACTTTTGCCGTTCAGTACTTAGGGCCAATCGGAAGCTTGTCATCCTTGCAATTGGTCCAATAAGATCATTGAAAATGCTAGGAATAATTTGGTCGAAATGAATCATTTATTATACGTCTTCAAAAACCTGAACAATATATTTATACTTAAGTACATGGAACAAATGTAGATTGTTTACTCAAGGACTGAATATACAAAGAGTAATTTATATTATTTAAATTATTGAATAGTATTCGTTTCAGATTATTTTTTGAAGGGCCTTGTTGCTCACTATAGGATCGCGATTGGATTCACCATGGACGAGTATGGACTAGCCGGCCAAAAACTTTTCTCCATCCAAAAATATTAGAGTACTACGTGGTGCTCGTACTTTTTTTCGCGCTTATCATACTCCAAAAATGAGAGGTATCTGGACAAATTATGTTCTCAATCCGAAAAATATCAATATACTTTCGTATTTTGTGAAAATGTGTGTCAGACATGAACGGGTGTGGATGGCGGACCATCGATATCTTGAGTAATGGTGGAAAGTGGGAACGATTGTGTTGTCCGATGAATATGGGTAGTAACCAATCAGAAGCTCGGAATATCTTGAACTATTTCCGCGGGCTGGTCGCAATATTTTTGATATTTTTAAGTGGCTGTTGGTTGCAGGTCTCCGGTCGCGTTAGGGGCTGGTCGTGGAATATTTCTGTCGCGTTCACAGCAGATAATGATATGGAGAAAACATATATGCATGGATTCACGGATAGGAAAGGCTAATACTTCGGAAGTAATACAAATGTTCATTGACTAACGCTACTTTTTGATTTGCAATAAATTTACCGATTCTGCTCGATATGATTGCCTTCCCGTTTCTCCAATGGGTCCGTAAAAAATGAATAAACAATATAACCAATCACAAATAAGAAAATGAGGCAGAAATCCAGTTGGACGAGATTTGTTTGAATTAGACTGTTCTTTACAGGAAGTCGATTCTACTGACTGAGGGCTCCAGTTTTGAATCGATTTAATAAGGGAATGTTTGTTTTTCTCTTGTTGCTTCGTCCAAACAAGAGGAATCAACTGAAATCATCGTAATAAATGGTAACGTTATGCATAAAAAAGTACTCGCAACGTTAGCGTCAGCTCTTGTTTCAACTACACTCTAACAACTCACTGTACTTCGTACAATCTAAAGTTACTCAAAGTACAACTACACACGAGTACTACATAGTACACAGTAACGTTAAACTTACTGTAGCGGTGGTAGCAGTAATACAGTGTATAGTATAGTAGTTGATGTCGTCCATTCATCCTGTGCGCAGCTTTCTGCATTCCAATCAGTTTCGGCCGTTCCAGATCACAAGCATACAATCTTTCGTATCGTTCGTTTCGAACGGCCGGACTCAGCTTTACAGCAAGTGTACTGAACCTTGTTGAAGTACTACTAGTACAGGAAGTATGTAGTTTTTGTGTGCAAAGCGACACCTCCAAGAAGGGATGAGGAACTGCAGTAGCTATGTAGGTACTGACTGTACTTAGTCTCTGGTGGCATTTGTGAATTTGCAGAGACGGCAACAATTTAATGCTGGTCGTGCCACTGGCAGTCGTCATATCCGCCGCCGCGTTCCCGTTCAATGTGTTTGCATCGTTGAAACGACGCGAACCGCCGCCGTGGCATTTGTTCCCATTGCCCCACACATTAGACTCGACCAAGCTTAGCCGTCGCAAAGCTAATCGAGCTCGCGACATGTCCATCTGGGAAGCGCTCAGTCGCCTTGGCCGGGTGTATTACTCGTACACCGACGATCCCACGAGCGAGCCCCCCGTCTTGTTGCTAGCGATTCAACAGTTGCTCTCCGACACATTGCACATGAGTCAGACGGAACGACACGTCATCGCTCAATTCGCATTCACGCCGCATGACTTGTGGGAAGGCGAGGCGCTGTATCAATTCCTCCAAGGACTCGTCATCACATCACGGGATCGCACCCATCGGACAATGGAAGTGGCGCTCACGGCATGCTTGGACGAGCTGTACACGTCGTACGCTACGAGGCACACCGCCGCCGCCTAGGGTGCACGAACGTTTGACTACTACATACTGTCTGTCAAACTATTACTCCCTCCGTTCCAAAATAAGTGCGCGAGTTTTGGGAGGGGGGACATGACACTTCATTAAATTCACAAGGTAAATTGGAAACATGGTGTCGCCCATTGGAATTCGAAATACTTTGATTGGCTCATTGGAGAGAGGACACTCAGAGCTCTCTGTTGCTGTGACAATGAGCGGGAAATCTCAAGTGCTGAGGCCATTGCCCGCGTGCAAAAGTTGCATACAAATTTTCATATAAAACATACAATTGCAACTACCATCATTCGCAAAATGACAACCGAAAGGCGCAACCTTACCAACGAAGAGCGCGAGGCCATCCTTCGTGAAGTCCTGCTCCACAGCAACGGCAGCTACTTGTCTCGACTGCCGAAAGGACTGAGTCAGGAGCTGACGGTCAAGTACAGCTGCCACGTGGCCACGATTCGCCGGGTCCTTGCGGTCGCCAAGCAACAGGGTGTCGGTCATGGGAACATGAAAGTCACCGTTGCTAGCCGGAAAAAAGGAAGAGTGGGAAGGAAGAAGGCCTTCATTGCAGAGCAAGTGAAAGCTAAGCTCTTGCAAGTTCCACTAGCCGAACGCACTACACTTCGTTCCATTGCGGAACGCACATGTGATCATTGAACAATTTGTATTGTAGCTCATCTTAGTTTAGGGATAAGTTTGGGCTCTCTGCACCGGTACCTCAAACTTGGTATGTTTCGCTCGCATTCCAATGCGATAACACCATTCCTGACCGACGCGAACAAGTACAGTCGGATGAAGTACGCCGTCGAGTTTGTCGGCCCCACTCAAGAGCTGAACAACCTGCTCCAGTACGTCCACTTGGACGAGAAATGGTTCTACATCACCAAGGAAAGGCGGAAGTTCTACCTCGTCCCTGGTGAAAAGGAACCGAAACGGGTATGTAAAAGCAAGCGATACATTACTAAAGTGATGTTCCTGTGTGCTGTGGCCCGACCACGCTACGTCCATGGCGCCGAAATGTGGTGGGACGGCAAAATTGGGATTTGGCCCATTGTCGAATCTGTCCAAGCACAGCGTGCCAGTGTGAATCGCCCTGCGGGAACCCTCGAGACCAAGTCAATCACCGTGACGAAAGAGGTGTACCGCACCTTTTTGTTGGACAAGGTCTTGCCCGCCATCGTCGCGAAGTGGCCGCGTGGCGACGACCGCGCGATCAAATTGCAGCATGACAATGCCCGCGCCCACGCTACACCGTCCGACGCGAAGCTCAAGGCAGCTCTGGTCATGAAGCTGTTTGGGGACAATGCCTACAAGGTGCCGCACATGTCGAAGCGAAAGGAGGAGCGCAGAGGTTTGTTACCTCAAAATGTGACGTGTCCGCGCGACTTCTTCGATGCGGCCAGAGCCAAGTTGGACGGCATGGCTTCCAGCGAGCTGGATCGTGTCCTCGCAGCCGAGCTGAAGGAGGCCAGGTGCGCTGATGAGCTGGCGCAAGTACTTGAGGCCATCATCGTCGCCATCGCGCTGAGCGACGATGAGTCGGACGACATGATCTCTGCCATGGCTGAAGTAGGCATCGACCCGGTGTGGAAGATGACGAGTATGCGCTCTTACATGTATGCATGTTGGTATTGCGGATGGTCCCTGTGCTCGTTAGGAGGGTTCCTGAGGTAAACCCCCCTCCCGAGTTGAATGGCAATGTCAGAATTGCTTGAAAACGTGATTTGATTGGTCCTGAGACAATGGTTTCGCATGATTTGATTGAACAAGTGTATCGTTACACCTGTATAAATGCATTCTGAAGTATTTGATCTTAGAGTTTGTGTATTTTTATTCGAGGAGGCGTACATCACTTTTCTTATTCGCGCACTTATTTTAGAACGGAGGGAGTAATATTTATTCTTCTGAAGTGTCCTCTTGTGTGTGAAATAAAGCCAGATCTGTCAAATCTGTGAATGATTGAAAAGGGGATAAAAAATGACAAGTCAATACGTGGATGCGGATATTTTATCCGGACACACGTGTTTGGAAGTAAAAAATCGACATTTTGACTTGGGGTTTGTATGGGTCGTTTGTTGAACAAATCCGAGGGTGAAAACCCCTCCATTTTCACGACAAGATGGCGACCGAGGTGCACGAAATCTTAGACCGAACGACCAAGAAGGGCCGCGTGTACTATCTCGTACGATGGCAAGGGTTCACTGCTGACCAGGATACATGGTAGAGGATGCCATAGCCTCTCTCTTGACCATGCTCATGTGTGTGCGGGCGCGTAGGGAAAGCCGCGTGGAACTTCGCCAAGACGGCCACTTCCAGCACATTCAAGCGTTTGAGCACAGTACGTCCAGCTTGTTGTAGCACTACAAGTAGCCAGCCGAATCATGCATATCCTGTAGAGCGAAAGCAGGCGGAGGACAAGGAATTTGCCGAGCGCCATGGCGCCGACGCCAATGCTGACAAGAGTCCACGCAAAGGGGGTCGTCCGAGCAAGAGTCCATCGCGTGGCCGCAGTCGCAGCGTCAAGCGAGATCCGTCCGCTCCACGCCGCGCGCGTTCGACGTCTCGAAAGGCAAAGGTCGAAGTTAAGGACGTCGACAAGGTCGCCGCGCCGCCGCCAGTTGTCGTCGACTTGCTGGCGAGTTCAAACGGTGTCACATCGTTGTTGGCTGCACCATTGCTCGAACCACCAAGTGTATTCAACTCATCCGAGGAGTCTCATGTCGTCCATGCATCGTCCTCCGCCCCTTCGATTGCCGACGGCAGCCAGGCGGACGACGAGTCGGACGTCGTGTTCAAGCCATCCGCGTCAGCCCTTCCTGCTGCCGCCGTGGACAACAGCACCGTGTCGCAGGCCGTGGCGGACCTAGCAAACCAGGGCTGGTTGCTGCAGGCAGTGGGCATATTCGTAGTCTTCCTCGCCATGCTAGGGCATGCCTTGGTGCCGCACATAGAAGCGAACGTTCCCATGTCCAATGAGGTCAAGACCACCGTGCTAATCCTCACGAAAACCAACTCGCTGCCGCCGCTCGTGACGCTAGCGCTTGTGCTTCGGGGCCGCAACAACAGGTTAAAACCATATATATATATATTATTTGTTTTCCATTGTCAAATGGATACTATGATGTTTTTCCAACTAACTTTTATATATTGGGGGGGGTGTTCGTTTCACAGGGGGTTGTCCAAGTGGATTGCCATCTGCCTCGTGTGGCGCACCGCGGCCGAAGTGATTTTGCAGTTGCCCGACCCCCAGGTCCGTATACCCGCAATTCCTTGCTTTGCATATATATATATATATATATATATATTGGAGATTCGGTATGAATTTCCGGACCCTGTTCAATCGAATCTCGCCGAGCGAATCGAGCACCAATCTCTCCCATTGGTCAATCCGAAATTGCTTGTCGCTGATTGGCTACAATCCATTTTCGAGTTTCTACTGGAAAGGGTGAAGTGGATATTGGCCAATCAGATGTCTCGGCTCTATTTGTCCTCGATTGAACGAACCATGCAAAATTGGGAAATTTGAAGAAAATCGACAATATATAAAAATATATATATATATATAGACCAAGCCAACCTTGTGATGTATAGAGCTTATACTTGTCCGTGTCGCTGTTGTGTGTGGGAGTTGCAGACTTGGGGGCGTTGGCCGCTGTGTGGTCGGCGGTGGGCGGCAGTCAGCCCGACTACGACGTGTTCGCACAGACGCTGGCTATCTTTGGGTTTGCTTTGCTCGTCTTTTCCGACAGGTGAGTGACGACTGGTGCTTTGTATCGCACTGTCTTTTTGTTTTATATGGACTTATATGTAGTCTGTTGCTCCCATTGCATCAAATTCTCGTGCCCCTGCAACCTATGCGGGTGCTCGTGATGTCGTTGGCCACGGTAAGATTGGCGTAAAAAACGTTGGCTTTCGATAACGGCTCTATTCATGTATCTATGTTTGTGCGTAGATCTTTTTGTCCATGAGCTCCATCTTGGCCGAAGTCTAAGTGTATATGCAAAATATGGAGAGCCTGGGCAAAAGAGCGAGTTGGCGACGACAGACAGCCAGAGGGAAAGTGTAGAGAGTGGGCAGGCCATAAGTGCAAACGACGACATAGTAATTGCGCAATTTGCCCAACTTTGGACTCATTTCGCCTATTAATAGTCTGTATACTAGTACTACTGTAATTTTACTACGACGTACTATTCATAGTAGCAATCGAATCCATTAATAGTATTGGATACTTATATTACTACGTACACTAGATAAAAAAACTTCACACTAGACTATACAATGCGGAGGGACGAGTGGGCCAAATCAAACGTTTGGATTGGCAGAAATTTATCAGAACGTGATTTGATTGGCTTAGGCGGTCCTTTAATCGATTCCCCAAAGACATTAATGCTCCAGTTTCGAAGTTTTCGGATTCTCATAGAGTATTCAACGACAATACAGTAGTAATCTTACATTTTGGTACTTCACATGAACCTCGTCACATTCGATGCTGTCATTGACAACACCCTCCAGGCTTGGATTGTCGCTGAGAATATTCTTGTGGACGGTGGGCAGTGCCTAGTCGAGTCCGTCGCATGCGAATCTCATGTGACAGGTCTCAATCGATGGGATATCGATTGTCGATTGGTCAAATCCTAGCCAATCATATCCCAACATTTCAAGACGAACGGACGATCGAGGACTTTCGGAGATTTTGGATACTTGATAATGATCCAGGCATGATATATCTTGAGTATGGATCCGCTTTTGCCGGAAACTTCGCCACATCGTGTGGCCAACCAAGATGGTCGTGCCACGCACGTCATCCTATGTCCACACACGGGCTGCGTCTCATTTTCCAAAACACATTGAAGCCATGAACGTTATTCACACCATGCACTTGCGCCGCCATTTGAGTGCGGGTGTAGTCGACCTCACGTATATCTGGATCTCCATCTCCGTCGTGGCCATGATCGTAATGGCGCTGGTGTACGTGGCTCGACGAGTGGAAGGCGCCAACTATCTCCATCGGCAGCGAAACGAGTCGACGGCAGACACGGTGATCGCGTTGGCAACCCCGAAATCGCCAGACTGGTGAATTACCATCCCTAAATTAATCCCATCTCGATATACATACTAGTACACACTACTTACGTGTTGACCCATCAGCGTTTGTGTGTGCACGACATATTACTGTAGTATGTACACTAGTAAACAACCACCCAAACTGCCCACGCCAGGTGAATTGACATATACAAATTATGATTGGGGCGTTGAAATCGCTCGTGTGATAGCCATCG